ATGCATCCCTTTTACCATCAGTGACATGCCCACAGTGATGCACATCGTTTCTAATGCGCATAATGTGAAAACAACGGTCAACGCCAGACCAACACATTCAAGCTCACAGCTAGCTTCATTAATTGAAAAGAAGCGAAAGAATCTACTACCTTTTATGACAATGTAAAACAACATTTAACATTCCATCAAATCGATATTGTGATTTTAAGGACCCGTGAGACGTATTTTTTTGCATTATTTGTTCGCACAATCTCGTTTTTTTAACATAAAAAATGCAAGCAGCATGACTGTTTAGGTTGTGTTGAAACGAGTGGTGTTTTGTTTTCTTCCAGTTACCTCAGACTTCTTCCAATAGACTGCACATGTTCATGACATTGGTTTCATCAAAAAGGAAAAGTAAAGATGTAGGGCACTATTGTTAGTTACACTGCTTATATTACCACTTCTATTCACTCTCTTTACCAAAATTTTATTTAGAACCTACAAAGATTTCTTCTATTTTATCCCTCTTATAGGTGTTATAGCGTTACCAACACTTAGCTATGGAGGCTGATTGCTGTTCAAAATAATCCACCCTGGGCGATAGTTGAACGCGCATTTCACTCATATCGGAGGAGTTACCGTGAACTGAATCTTTGATATTATTGAACAAAACCTTCCAATAATTCACGCTGTAAACTTATACCTTTTCCACATTCATAAACTCTATTTGTAGAGCCGTACGGTAAGCCAGTTCAGCTTCTTAAGGTTTAAAGTGCTGAATATTTTTAGATTAAGACAAAATAAAACAGAAGTTTCTGATATTCCAAGAACCATTTAACACCATCGAGTTGTTTGTGGACGTTAAGTAGCGGTATATGCGTGATTTCGTTTCGAAGCGGAATTCTCTGAATATATTATAAATATTCGAAAGAAATCTACACTACCACCTTCACATAGAATTTCGTCTAATCCAGAATGCTGTCATCAAGACCGTTGTTAGCTTCTGATGTAAACTACAGATCTTGCCTCGATCTATCAATTATGCAATTATGTTAGAAAACTAAAAGTGAATCATACCTCTGCTATCGACTGCTTTTTTACAGACCCGCTCAAAACGATTTTATCTGATAAGGATATGACATGTCTTTAGAGGATTATTTAACCTCAAGGGATCGACGGAACCGAGGGACGGTGCTACTGATGAGTCACAATAGGACGAAATAGGCGCCTATATAGCACTAGACCTATCGGCTCAAGACATGTCATATCCTTATCACATTAAAAGTGAATCTTCATATTTCTTCTCGTACATCGTGTCTAAGCAGAAATCCTATAGCAATCACTCTACTGCTATATTTTTCCTACGGCGATTCCTATGCACTTTCTATAACCGAATTATGATATTAGTTCATTTCCACCAGTTATACATGTGGTTCAGTGGTTAGAGGTGCTCTGCATCGCACACGAGGTTAATGGTTCGACGTCGCGCTTATGATTCACTAAGCCATCTATCACTTTGAGGCTGGTAAATTGGCACTAGACAGGTCTCAAACTTGTCTAAGAGGATAAGCAACACTGACTCGGTTCAGCTGGAGGCCACTACGAGTCACTATGAAGGCTAGTTATGCATTCAATCACCTCAAACAAAGTTAAAAATTGAAGTCGAATGCATGGCGCATCTCTCGGGGATTTATCAACGCCGAAAGCCTTATTCTTTATCCACTAGTTCTTTGAGTTAGAATTTGAGATGTCAAGATAGGAAAGCCGACGTTGATGATTTAATTTTCATTTTCCATTCACATTTTATATTTTTTGAATTTCAATAAGTTTTTTGTATCTATATTTTCATGAATTCATGTATCCGACGTGCGAACTCAAAATCAGTCGGTAAAGGTTTTGAAAAATTGACTAAGAACGTGGCCAATAGAGTGTTCGCAAATGCATAAAACAAAGCTGGCTCAAGGACTTTTGTCATGGTGAGTCTTACGTTTGAATTGAAGGAGAACGTGGACGTCCCTCTGTTTTTCCGCTCATTATGTCAACGGCTTCACAAAAAACTGGTAAGTTGAAGAAGTTCGACAAGTGGCTTCACCGAAATCGAATAACAATCTAAGCATCAACAAGTATAACTTTCTACTTAATGCCTAATTTTTCTTTCTTTTTTCAATGTCAGGGTGCCTAGGAGCTTCCGTGGCGTCTCACTATTGTAACAATCGGCGAATACACCACTTGCAAAATTTTCACTAGCGAGCGCGTGAGAGAAGTTAACGTGCAGTAGAAAATGTGCCAAAATAGAACTTTTATCATTTGTGTGCTTCTAGCGGTGGTATGAATTCTTGAATATACCCTTTAATGTAGAGTGATATGCAAAACTTTTGCTTCAGGCGGGACTCAAACGAACATCTCACTCTATCCGATAGCGCGTGTTCTCAACCGTTGCACTACTGACGCCCATTTGGCAGACCACTCTTTAAGTCACACCACTATACCACCACTGTTCACTATGAAAAAATCAATTTGATCATCAATACTTAATATGTCTCAGCGTGACTGGGTTCAATGTCGATACCAAGTACCCGGGCCGGGCCGCTGACGGTTGGCGGTTGGCAATGATGCGCTGTAGCGTAGAAAGAGCTGTGTGCAAAAATAGGCGTTAGTAGTGTAACGGGTTGAAGCAAGAGCTCTCGGATAGGCTGAGATGTGGGTTCGAGTCCCGCCTAATGCGAAAGTCGTGCCAGAGTGGTTTGACTTGGCTTGATTGCAGGAACTTGTGCCTATTGCTCGTTGAGTGTGAAATGAACGTACAATGGGTTTTTGGTAGTCCTGCTCCGTTGCTCCTATTGTATTCACTCAAGCGATCAATAATCCCTCTATACGAACACCTCTGAAAATACAATAGTACAGTATCAGTAACGCAAGCAGAATAGTGATCACACGATAACGATAATTTAAGTAGGAACAATACGGTAATAACGGTCAGGACGATTTTCAATGAGATGAGGTTTAGATCAGACGTAAAGAATTTTTAAGTGGCAGTGACCCGTATAACGCGAAGTGACATAACGATGAGGTATAAAAACGACTTGGTGAGGCTTAAAGGAGAAATTGTTTGAACAGTAGAGTCATCATGCAAGAGGCTCAGTTAGCGAGATGTAAGACTGTTAATGAGCAGCGTACAACGACATCAAAGATCAATATAAGTTACGGAACAGATTGATGAAATTTGTAGTGGCAGTAGCCTAGAGAGCTGATCGCGATTCATAAGCCGGATACAGTGAGTCTGTTTACACAGCGCAAACTATTCGGCGGATATCTGGGCGTTGCTATTCGATATCTGAGAGTCAGTAGGTGATTGATTTTGATGCAGTTGGGTCAGACGAGTCCAATACAAAATTTTGTTATCATGTTCCGACCAGTGGCCCCTATACGCTCTGCAGCGTGCTTGGTAACATGTGTGGTAACACAGATTACTGGCCACTTTGCTGTCGGTGGCAGAGCAGATGTAGCGCACTTTAATATGCTCCACCACGGAATGAAGTAACCCGTGTTCCGACGTGATGCTTCATGATGAATCCAAAGCTTCCTATACGCTATACTTGAAGTTGCCTGATTGTCTTCAATTTAAAATGCGGTGTTATTTGATTGAATCACTTAGAATACCACTCCATCGGTTACGAGCAATTGACATGTAGACATAGATTGGTCACGAGATTATCATTACAGTATTCGGACTAATCATAGATAATGTAAGTTAAAGTTCCGTAAACCTTGCACTGCCCGTCGCGATAGTAGATAAGTTCTGATATTCCTTTTATGAGATCAATAGCCGGCTGATTGTCATCACAGTACGATGGGGTCCCCAAGCTTCTCGTACATATTCTTCTTGGACCAGTTTGAGCAAATGCCCAATTAGAAACATTAGATTGATGCCATAAACTTTGTATAATAACTCGCTGTCTCCAAAAATAAGGACAGAGCAATTTATGGTAAATACTTACTTAACCAGACTGTTGTTGAGTTGCTCTTATGCATAGTTGTGATAAAACTGCTTAAGGCTGTTCAAATCTAGCTTTTCAAACTAAATCAAAGTGCATACTTTTCTGATGCCTCATTATTCTTATTTGAGCCAACATGTTATGTTGTCTGTTATAGCTCAAACTTACAGAGCTCGATACACATGTTCCGACCTGACTGTCTCATCAGTGGGGCGGTTACACTTTGTCATTTGCCAATCCTCTCGGAGCGCACAAGTCCCTATACTAAGAGTAGTCAACCACGAACCTTTTACACTGTCCTTCAAGTGAACTTCTTGATAGTTAATACTTTGATTTAACCGATACCACGTGATATGTGGATATTTCTGTCGGGATTCCAACGCCTTCGCCATCTTAATACTCGATGCAATAAGTAAAGCCGATGATTTGTTCGCGAATAGACGAATGTCGATTGACTGGTCAGTTATGAGAAAGGTGAAGACGACAACACGTAAGTCGAATGAAACCTCCCAGTCAAACCTCGTAGTAACAGACCAAATTAGCTTCGAGTAAGAAACTGACAGCCTTATCTCTATTCCATGTCGCAGTGGATGACGTAATGCGATGAGTAAAGCGGATTCAAATCGTAAATCAGTTAGGGCTATATTACCTCAACACGACGTATTTCGATGTGATAATAAGAACTGATGTAAAATTTTATTCCGTTATTCAGTTGCACATGAAAACAAAAACTATCAAGTGATAGTATGTTGTTCATTTTCCTATATACAGGATCCGAGAGAAGTTCTGATAATTTTTAGAGAGGAGCATTTTACGGTCTATTAGATCAAGAACAGCAAACAAAAGAGAAGGTTAATAACAAATTCTCAAAACAACTTCCTCTGGGCCTCTATATATCTGCGAAATCGCTTGCGAAAATTTCTAACGGTGCTAGCACAAGTTTCCACCGTAATTCCGTAACAAGTGCGTGTCAAAGTCTCAAACCACGTTTACGATACGATAGTGCAGAGATTAGCTGAGACTTCTTTTCCAGCATGGAAAAACGAATCGATCCACTGGGTTGAGATCCGGTAAGATTCGGTTCCGATGTTTTTTCTCCAAAGTCTGGAAAACAGCTCTTGACATACGGCATCGTTAAGCGGGTCGAATGAGTAGAAGCCCAGTCTTGCTAAAGCGTATATCCGTCGGCGCCAAGAGCTGAGTGCTCCAAGGCTTTTAGTGCGCCCCATGGAACTAGCTGCTATTAGCTGGCGGCGTTGATTTTGACGCTTTTTTGATGAATACCAGCGGCGTCCTTGCTGTGGCGCAAATGTCAGCCCAGACCACCACAGAAGCCGGAAAGTGACTGCGGATCATGGTTTCTGCCACTGCAGACTCCTGACCTTCCTTGAAAAGCCGACGTTGATTCTGAACATTTGAAGTGGATCGACCGTAGATATTTTCATCTGTAAAATGCAACGTCGACAAACGGGCACCATCTATCGAACGAATCATTCGACGAGTCCTTAAAAGATGCTTTTTCCACATTTTGTTCAGAAAGTGAACATGAGTGATCTTGTAACTGCGCAATTTGCACTTATTCTTGACCTCGGTTCGGACGCACCACTCGCTGATTTGGAGCTTTCCGAGCCTTTTTGCGCACCGAACGCTCCGGATTTTTTTGAACTTGGCGCAGGTCTTCTGAAAGGTTCTCAGAGTTAGACCAAGTGGTTGGACAACCTTTCCAAAGAAGTTTCCTAATTTCTCCCGTCTTTTTGGAATGTTTCACGGCTCTGTAGACACTTACTCGTTTGAAACCGGTCTATTTTAATAACGATGGTTATTTTCAATTCCGTCTTGTGCAATGAAATACTACTATGTGTTCATCTTCACGATCTATAACTTTAGCACGGCTGGAAATAGGCTATATAATCTGGCAATGTGTTTAGAGCCTTTTATGAGGTCTACTAAGGGCACTCATACAATGCAAGATACGTGTTTCGTTCTTTCAGCCTTGTCGGTTGTATAGTGCCTTTCAATCAATCAATTCCTCGAGAACTTCTCCTTATGTGAAGTAACCGATGACGAACTTTCCATACTCAATGTAAGGTTAAGCAAACATCGTAACGGAAAACACGTGTCTCGTGCTGTTCAAGTGCCCATAATAGACCTCATCAAAGTCTCAGAATGCAAAGTTAGAAGAATGTTCTTGAGCGAGGCCTCAAATAATTGGCTGGAATATTCCTTATATATGTCGTACAAGCCAATATGTCATGAAATCGACAATCACACACTAGAGAACTCCACGGTGATTGTTTCGTCGTATGATGAGTGTCTGAAGGTCGTTTCATTTTATTACGTAGGGGTAGATTCCCGAGGAAATGACTGGACGGCAAGGCATCGTGCAACTGACGAGGCAAAGGTCGAAACACGTATGTGGCCGAAATGTGGCTATAACGGATTTCATGAAAGATTCAATATGTATAGTCATACACTATTGTTCATAAGCAAGGTCTCAAAATAGTTAATTGCAATGTGTAAAAAACAGACAAATAATCAAATATATTCCAGAACAAGTTTATCATGACGACCCGAAACCATCCATAGTAACTCACAATTCCAGAAGCCTCACTCTTAGCGATGGGGGTGGGAGTCTCCCAATGGAGAGTGCCATAAAGAAATAGACCACATCTCACTAAATCGAAGGTTTTGCCTGACGGTGTCTTTGTTGTTCCGAAGTTCTACACGGGATCAGGACATCGTCTCCTTTGCGCAACGTTCCGTTTCTCGCACAAAAAAGAGAAAGCAGCTAAATTTAATCAACGAAGTCTCAGAAACTACCATAAACTGGGATGTATTCAAATCATTAGGCGGCTCTTGGAAAGATACCGTTCCCGAGAACATTGACGAAGAATGCGACCGACTCGTTGAATATCTTCACGTTAGCGCTGCGAAAGCCGAAAGTCCTGAAATAATGAAGAGGTGCTTGTCTCGGCAGGCACTCGAGCTGATACGTCAACGTGGAATCGCACGTGCTACAAGAAACAAAAGCTTTCGTCAGAACTTGCGAAACGCTGCAGAGAAGCGATAAAAGAAGACCTTAAAGAGAGACGAGCAGCAGATATGGCACAAGTTGCAGAGGCTGGAAAGAGCATTCGCAAAAACCCAGCTAGGCTTTGCAAATTATAAGGCCAGGATGATTGCACTCCGATGCCCTGACGGGATACTTACAGCTTCCAGAAGGGCAATAGAGAAAATTATCCACCAGTACTATTCGGATCTCTTCGCTAGCCATGTCTCTTACCGTCATATAAATTAAAAGAGGATGAATATGTCGTTCCACCAGTTCTCGCTTTCGAAATCCGACACGCTATATCGGCGGTGAAGAACAGAACAACATCCGGTCCAGAAAGGATTAGACCAGAACAACTGAAGAATCTGCCGCCAGTTCTCATCAAATACCTGGCTCGGCTCTTCACTCGCTACCTGTCATAATGCAAGGTCCCTATTCAATGAAAAACCAGCAAGACCGTATTGTTGCTCAAAAAGGGAGACCTTCACGACTTAGGCAATTATCGCCCAATCTGCTTGCTGTCCGTTGTCTATAAACTCTTTACTCGAGTCAACCTAAACAGGATTGACAGAACACTGGACGAACTAGAGCCATGCGAACAAGCAGGGTTCCGAAAAGGAATTGGTGCCATACACCACATCCACACGGTCACAAGACTTATTGAAATTTCACGAGAGC